CTATATATATATATATATATATATGCATGTTTCATTATAATTTTATATAATTGCCATCATAGATATGAATAAAATTTTCGATAGAATTTAATTATTATGGTACCTTTACCCTGAATTTTGAAATACTAAAATACAGCATTATTATATGTATTACATTATATCCCTCTGTGAGAGCACTTTACTGTAATGCATATAAATTCACGTTAATTCCTATGCGAATAAAATCAGATATTAATTAATTGAGCGCCACAAATTAGTATTAAAAACTGACCCGTCCAAATTATATTATTAATAAACGAGCCGCAAGACGCAACGAGTCTGCCGGTGGAGTCAGTCAGGGTGGAATACGGATTTTGCAAAACTGTACGATACAGGGTGGAATAATACTCCCTCTCGTACGCCACGACGAAGCACGCCGCAGTTGCAGCTGCAGCCGGTCGTAAGGAAACTGGCGCACGTGTTCCGCGGTGTTTCTGGCGTGGACTTATTTCACTATTTTATTAGATTAAATATTCACGAGAGACGCTAGAGCGTGATAGCAACAACGGCGAAGCCGTAGAAAAACGCAGTGAAATACGGCGCGGGCCTCCGTTACGAGGGCGCGGCGCTATCGTGTAAGAAATACAGGTCATTGTTGCATCTTTAATGCGTTGTACAAAAGCGGCGCATGAATAAGTTGGACTTCGTCGCTTCAACGTGAAACCACAGCAACGTGACGTTTTTATTGTCGCATTTCTCTTCCGAATGCATCACGTGCATCGACGAGTTGCTCCTTGACTATGAGATTTCTTATTTATGATTGTAAGATAAAAATTTTGATATCCTGTTTTTCCCCTTATCACTGCGAAAATATTTCATTTATATTTCTTTGTAAAATACAGACAGTATCGTAATTTTTTTTTTACTTTTATTATTTGTGTATTTCTCTTTTATATTCAGTGCCGTGTCGCTTTCATTAGCATTAAAAAATCTACAAAGTAAATGTAACAAATAATATAGCAACAAATAACATTATTATGTATAAAATAAAATAAAAAATATTGATGCATAAATAAAATATTATTAAAGATTCAAATCTCTGTTCGAGAAAGACTGATTTTCATGTTAACTGCGTATTCTCGATGTGAATGCGGATAATCGACTGTTTGACTTACACTTGATTTTTTCAAACTTTTCTACGGTTTATCATCTTGGGTTAAAGTTTGTCCATTTCGAAGTAGAGCGTACCTACGTATTCTCCGGCTAGCAGAGAGTTATGTTAGCCAATCACTCTAACATGTTCGAATGAACGTGCCTTGCGACTTTCATGTAAAGTACGAACTTTCCCGTAGGATTGAACTGTGCTGTTCGTATCTTCGCGAACTTCTTCTTATGCGAGGTTTTCGGTGCTTTCATGCAAAGCAACAATGATTTTAAAATAAATTATACCATAAATTATAGCGTGATATAACAACATTTTCAACATGACAGGTAACAAAACAACCAATTAAAAAACTGTCAGTTCCCGTATAAAAGAATAAAATTATTTTCTTACCGTACCGAATCCATTCATTAGCTCTATCGCGTAACGGAAGTGTTAATTAAAAAAATAAAAATTACGTATCACGCAGATCACCGCGAGCTTGATAGCTTAGTAATCTTAGAAAAATTATGACACAGTTACGTCGAGATTTTTGTGATTTAGCGTTCACAGCCTTGTCTTAATGAAATAAAATATTACACCGCTAACAACCCCTAATGAATGAAAACGAATGGTGGACATACATGCAATGCTTCATAGTTGACACGCATTTGCCATATAATAATACCTTACAGATTTTGTTATGGATGGTGCATGTGCATGTGGCCGTTCGTATCGCAATAACAAAGTAACAAATGTTTCAATGAAAATTGACGTTCGTTACTTGGCTTAATATTTCTCCACCACGCGACAACACGTACCGCGCAGTGAACGTACTGCATTGCGCGAAGTTATTTTTTTTCTCACGAAATTAACCTGACGCAATTTATTCGAAAGCGCAATTAATCTTACCGAATCTAACGCAAACAATCCGCCGTGATTTTGTTATGAAATGCAAATTCGACTCGGTCTACGAAATCTCCAATTTACTCAAAGAGTTACGTAAAACAAAGGGAATGAAAAAGGGATTGTTTACTTTGCATTTTAAAAGCTATATTCGTCGAAAATAATATTCCGATAATTCTTATTGGCTTATTTTGATATACGAAAATTTTTTTTTAACAATTTTATTTGATGGTAGGAATCTAATCATCTTTAACAAGAAAGAATAATACAAAACAGAAAATAAAATTGGTCAAATAAGCGAATTATACGAAGCAAATGTGCCGCTTTATTTAGTACTAGTTAGCATAATCATCATAATAATCTACATTAGTCATTAAGGAGTAAACATCTTATTACGAGTTCCGTCCTGGCACACTACGCTTCCGGCCTGAATTTAATGGCGGTGGAACGAAATGGCTTTTCAGGCCATTTCGCTAAAGCTCGTTATCTCGTTAACGATCGGAGCGCCTATTCGTCTATTTCGAGCTTTGTCACGACTGCATCTTATCACGACACCGAGAGAGACGGAATAAGATATATAACGATAATTACTTCGTAGATCTTAAATTCCTTAGATTAAAAAGTAGATTTTATACAAAGCTTAAACTATCGCAAGTTCATTTTTATATCTGTGAAATTCCTCAATTTTTACATAAAAATTTTTCTGTTTTGTATTAAATATCATTGTAATTTATGCGACAAATTCGGGCTAGGCTATTGCTCGCGCGGATCCAGTTTGATAAATTTGTTTTTAAAATATTTCTCTGTATATGGAAACATCCTATATCTCTCCAGTGTACATAAAGTGCAGTCAATACTGTCGGACAGAGACATATCTCTTTCTCAGCTCTCCGAATATGGCGAACATGCATATATGAAGTAACCGCATCCTAAAAAAGGGGGGGGGGACAAAGATATATCTCCATCTCGTATTTAGTAGATATACTTTTAAGAAAGACAGATATATTTCTGTCGCAGCTACGAATTTCTCTCAGTTCATGTTTATAATATATTAATATTACAATCATTCTCGTTATTTTCGACATTGATAAATTCTGTGCGCCGCTCTACCGGGATGATTTATCTCGGAACACACAGTGCGATTTATGATTTTCGCGACGGCCTGCATATCCGGGTGCATGGTGCAGAATAGCGCATGATATCGCTTATATGTTATTTCAGAAACCAGATTGGTGCCGCGGAAGCAGGAATGGGCGAGGTCGAATGATGCGGGGACGCGAACGAAAGAGGCGAGGAGGGCAGAGCCGCGATAACTAGAGAAGAAACGGGAAAGCAGGGAGGGCCTGGTGAGAGAATGCAAGCCTCACCTGTACTTTCGCCACCACGTAGCTTCTGCTCGGGCCTCTCGACCCTCTCCTCACTCGGTTGAGGTGGCCTCTCTGTCCTTTTCGGATAGTAGGGGTTGTACGACGAGGGCCACACGGTGGTCAGCCTTTTTGCTGGCGGTGGCGTGCTCGGTCGTCCTGAAAATAGATTAGGACCTTTCTCATCTAACCCAGGCACTCTCCTGTTTGCTTCCTTTTTTTTGTTTTTACACCCGTCAATAATCCAGTTTGGAGTACCTCCTCTTTTTCTCTTTTTCCCACGTTCCGTTCCTGCATTTGATTTTATCGCGTACGTAAAATATATTGCGCGCTATTCTACACCATACAAGGACGCAGCAATAGAAGTTATAAGTGTAAAGTGTTGATGAAAATTTAGTTTAATTTATGTAATAATGCGACTTAACTATATATTGCAGCGCATGATAATCAAAATTGAGTCAGCTTCACAAACTTTAGAAAAAACAAATTAATTTTATAAAACTTTTTTTGTATCTAAAATGATATTTGTATTTTTAAATATTTTCTACGTTTTCAAATATATTACGTCATTAAAATAAAAATTATATAGTGTCAAATGATAAAAATTTTAAAAATATAAGAATTGAAATAGCTAAATTATAATACAGTTTGCAATTACATTAATATCTAAAATTAAAATTTTATTTTCAAATTTTAATTTCTTCATATTCTGGCACAGAATTATATTTATCGTAAGATTAAGGAATAAAAATATTGAGAACTATTTTTCTTTCTACTTATGGTCTTAATTTTCTTCTTGCTACATGATAGTTACGTTCCTGGCTATTTCATCGTCTCTAACAAGCGAAATTTAATTTATAACAGATACGACAGAAAACATATGCGCAAGAGCGCGTGGCGGGCGCAAGTTTGATGAATTCTACGAGCTTCTTTGAAAACGAGCCAAGTTCAACTTGTTGCATTCGATGTCGACGGATGTTCCATTGAACAAAATGCCTTCTCACGAGAAAATCTCGCGACAAAAAAAGAGATCGTTGAAAGTGTCTGCAATCCTCTACAAAGTGTCTACTTTGAGTTTTAACCGACTACCATTTAACGTTTAATTTCACTTAAATTAAATACAATTGTTATGATTTTTAAAAGCAATCCAATTTTTTACAATAAATCAACTCTTTTCGCTCTTAATGTTAATGGTTATGATAATCATCTCTTTAAACTATTATTTTCTAAGTATTTCTTTATGAAGATAGAAAAAGCAACCGTCTCGTTTCCTTTACGTTAAAAAAGTAAAATCTTTTGAAAGTGTGATGCAGTGACAAAATATAATATTAATATTTTCGCTTACTTAAATTAATTTTGTTAGAAATCATAATTACTTACTTGATAAACATCAAATAATTATAAAAAGATTATATTGCGAATAAGATTAGGAGAGAAGGCTGCTGCACATTTATTTTATAGTTATAATTACTCTGCTAATAACTTTCTTGGTAACATGATCACATGTTTAACAAACGCTCCCTCCCATAAGACAATGTGCCTGCCATGTCTAATTCGATTATATCGTTAATAATATAAGATTATATACTCCGCGCGCCAGCGTCTTATCTTTGTAAATATGAAAGTGCATCCCGAGAGAGTCGCGTCCTTCGCTGGTGGTAGATTGAAACTTTACTTACACGATAATTCTATACAATGCGTATCAAGCTGGGGTGTAATTCAACTTGATATTCGCCACGGGGCCTGTATACTTCTATTGCGCGCGGAGACCTCGTTCTTCGCGACCTGGTAGAATGCTTTGACGCTTATTTCGTTCCTCATAATCGTGAAGATTATTCAAACTACCATCGTTCGCGGTCCCGCGTGTGTCGTTCGTCGACACGATCTCGAAAACTATGAAGAAGCCGCGAAGTAATTTGAAGTATATGAATTATGCCGACTTCTCACGATTTTCCGTCTGTATTTGAAAGACGAAAAGTATTCGTTCTATTTTTAAAGAAAGTTTTCAAATTGTTACAAAAATACCAATTTCATCTATTTATTTGAGACTATAATATACATTGATGAATAAAAATTGTCTAGTAAAGTGATAATAATAGTAAAGTGTTCTCAGTATATTTGTCTTTCATTCGAGATTGGACCACAGTTTTAGCAAGGCGCTAAATGAACCGAAATTAAAAAAAAAAAACATTTCAGAGCGTGTCTGAAAAATTTTAATAGATACACTAAGAAATTATTTAAGCACTCGGCGTGTCTCTTAATTAATTCCCTTGAGCGAACAATCTGGCTTTCCTCGAGTCGCTTTCACTCGACTGAATTCTGCATTCTACTGTGGTTAGGCTGATAATGTGCCTTCCATGTGTATCCCTATCTCTTCTTCATCTTCCCCAGTAGTTCTCTCTCTCCCCCCTCTCTCTCTCTTTCTCTCTCTTTCTCTCGCTCTCTTTCTTTCTTCGTTAAACCCTATAGTCCTCCTGGTTTGCAAACAAGCGACCCTTTAACCCAGCCTCTAACTTGGGCACTAAAAAGTTTTCGAATAAAAGTTTAAATACGCCCTGGACAAACTTTGCCTCGCAGCTTCTTCGCGACCCCTAACAATATGGTAACTTTTGGGTCACCTGTCACGAAAACACGTGAGCGCATATTTATATTTACGTACGTATCGCCGTGCAATGCCTGCGAAGGGGTACACCCATTAACATTCTCTTTTCTGCCGGCAAGCAATCACAACGGGGCTCGTATTTCATCTGACTTAGCCTCCTTTTATTGCCCTTTTGTGCGTCGGGGGTTTGTTTAGGAAGTTTCGAAATAACTTGTTGAAAATTTAAGAGTCTCGCGCGGCACCTCCTCCAAAGTGCCGCGGCAAGCGGCACGAAGAATTTGTTTCGCGAAGACAGAAAATAGGCGAGAGAAAGGAGGATGGGCGAGAGAGAGACACGGGAACAAATTCGCGAGCGTAGTTGAAAAAAGAAAGTAAAATGATGAGATGGCATTATTAATAGTTTTGATTCTCGATTTATCAAAGTTGCACTTTCCCCTACACATTTTCGAGAAACAATGAGATCACTCTCGAGATGCTCTTAAGAAAATTGCACTTTTTTCAATAGAGAATTCTTTACGAAACTTTGAGTAAAAAGGTAACTATGGAGTTGGCAGTAGCTTTAGAATTCTTAGAAAAGATATTCCTTCATTCCATTTACATTCTACCTATTTTCAACTTAAAAATTTATATCGGGACAAAAGAGCTATATGTAATGAAGTTTTAATTGTAACATCATCCATTTTGTATCTTCGTTTAACAGAGTTGAATTTATTTAATGAGTAAATTGATTCTGATAAAAGTTTTTTTGTAACTGTTTGATCGATATAAAATTAGAAGAAACGAATGTGAGCTGCAAATAATTTCTTTTCATTCAATTAGACATATAAACAAATAATCTGTTTGATTTATTTATTTATTTAAAGTACAAAATTTTCTGAGTAAGTATATTGATTATTAATTGAAAGATTTAGGGTAAAAATATAACAATTTTAATAAGATGGACTTTGAAATCATATCTAAAAATGGACTTTAAAATAGACTTTAAAATGTATCGTGCAAACTGAGAATTTATAACATTCTTTCTCTTTAATAATGGATAATATTCTGAATTATTTACTTTATTAAAATTTCAATACACAAGTGCATGGTCACATTTACATCCATTTTGCTTAAAACATTTTATTCTATAATAATAAAAAAATAAAATTCCCTGTTTCTTTATTGTCAATTATTTCTACGTTACAATTAACATTCAGTACACGTAGTATTTTTACACGCTATGATATTGCATAAGATATCGCATATCAGAACGTGCAATGTAGCGTATAGTAAGGTCACGAATAATTCTAGACCTCTTATCGGGCTTTAATTAATTACGATCAATAGGATCGATAAATCATAAGGGGCAACTGGTAAGACAGTTAGAATTATTAAACGTCACATGTATTCTCGATGAATTAATTCCAATCTTTTTTGCCACAAGATTCACTTAAAGAGAGAAGGAATAACGAGAATAAGATAATTTCGCACCATTTGACATTCAAGCAAGGTTACTTTATTTTATTGCAGACGTCATTATTAATTTGTATTAAAGTCAAGGTTCTGACGATTATTGAGAGAACTGCTCTTCTTTATTTATTTTCAATATATACTGCGAAGAAAAAAAATGTAGATTATATGGTGATGTGAAATATTAAATTTGACAAATAAAATTTTAAATAATATTTTTAGTTATTAAAAAGCCTCAATATTTTAATACATCTTTTTAAGAATAACAAACATAATAGTGTATAGATTCAAAATACTTTTACTTTACTTTTACAAAATATTTTTAAAAAATTAAAGATTATAACAAATTAAAGATATAAAAACATTATTAGCTTAGAGTTCTATTATTATAGAAAATAAAAAAATGTCTAAAAAAAAATGTTGAAAATCCTTATCACTACAATCAAAATAACGATTCAAATCGCAAATGGAAATTATC